ACAGAGCGGAGCAGTGCCCTGCTCGATGCCTGGGCATTCCCCAGGAGCCCGGGGAAGCTGGAGAGCGGAGGCAGAGCGGAGCAGCGCCGGCAGCATGCAGGGAGCAGGCGGCGATACCAACCTGTGGCCGAGGAGCCCAGGGTGCGTCCGGGGTAAGCTGTTAGCGAGGGACACGGGGAGAGAGAAAAGGAACCGTGAGTCCGAGGAGGGATGCGACAGCCCGGGAGTGCTCCAGGACAAGGAGGGAACCGATGGCCACATTCCCAGCAGGAGACGAGGAGTTACAGCCTGGGAGCAGCCTGCAGCTCCCAGGACAAGCACTGAACCCCTGTCTGCCCTGCAGGGTGGGGATGTGGCTCTGCATCCCAGCTCCTGCTCTGAGGGGTTGTTGCCTTCCCTGGCATCACCTACCGAGCACACGGAGCCCAACAAGCCAGGGTTAGACAGCCACCAACCCAGCAATGTCCTGACAACCCATGACAGGGTCACCCGGACCCAGCCCCTGCGGCTGGTGATGGCATCTGGGAGGTCGTTCTCTACACAGGGACACTTGCTAATTAGCATACATCAGTAATTAGGGTCACCAGCATGCACCAACACCCGGTGTGACCTCACAGCAAGCTTTCCAAGGCTGGACTGGGAGAATCCCTCACCCTCAGCTAGGGATAGTCCCTCCAAGCACAGAGTTGGACCCAGGCAGAGCATGTCTGCATCCACGTGGGATGGCAGAGCAGGGAGGTGGGAGGGTGGCAGGCAGGGAGAAGGAAATGGCATCTGCCAGGCTGAAGCAGAGGGTGTGTGGGAGCTTTCTGAGATGCACCCTGACAAGTCAGAATTGATGGTGACAGCCACAGCTCCCACAGGACTCCATGGGAGTTTTCACATGTTGTGGGGAGCAGAGGAGCTCTTTGGATTACACTGCAGTGAGAGGAGCTGATGGGAAGGGAGACAAAATGGAAGGCTGCCACGTAATGGAGGGGCCAGGGTGCTTGCCACGGCGCCCCTCTATATTGGTTTACACCTCCAAAGGTCACACATATTCCATGACAGGCCTGCCCCAAAGCTCCCCCAGCTGTCCTGCTCCTCCCAGCCAGCTGAGCCGGCAGCTCTGTGCCCTCCAGCCTCCCCCCACCAGGGAGAGGGGGCACAGGGGGAGCTGGGAGCACCTCCCAGCCTGCGGGGACAGCACTGATGGGATGAACCCGCTCAGGACACGGGCACTGTGCAGGGGAAGTGTTGAGAAGGCTCCCTGAGCTCCACCGTGTCCTCACCTGCCCTCCAAGGTCAAGAGAGTTCCCTGGGCCAACCCTGTAACTAATGTGCAGGTTTCTCTGATTACACTGCTAATGAGGGCTGGGGAGGCTGGATCTGTGGGTATGAAAGGCAAACTGCTGAGCTGGAGGTTTCTAGAGAGGGTTGTGCGTGCCAGGGTATGGCTGGGCTGTCAGAGATCATTCAAGAAGTTTGGTGTCCGTACAAATTTTTTGGAGGGGAGCATGGCCAGGGTGTCTCACAGCTGAGACAAGGACTGGAGGCAGTGCAGCATCCCTGTGCCCTTCCCTGGGGGCAGGAGGGGACTGTGGGTCACCAGCTCCAGGGTCACAGGACACAGCTGTGTGCTGGGACCTGGCCTGGGCACTGTCAGCATGAGGGGTGGCTGCTCCTCACAGTGAGGTGGAACAGGCCATGGAGTGTTGAGGGGAGGCCAGGAGGAACACCAGGACCTGCTGTCCAAGGTGAGTCCTGCTCAGGAGCTGGATTTGAGAGAAGCTGGGAAAACAACAGAGTCGATGGTGAACCTCAGGAGCTGAGAACGCCAGCAGGAGCCTGGGGAACACTCAAACACTTGTTTCCTCACAAAAGGGGAGCAGGGAAGTGGCTGCTTGGGCATGGGAGGGATTAAGGGTAGGGTAGGACATCCTGAGGGCAGGAAATTGTGGCTGGGGGCTGCATCCTCTGGCTGTGAACAGCAAAGGGGGGTTAGAGCCCACCAGCTGCCTCTGTAACCCCAAACATCCTCCTGAACTGTGTCCCAGGTTGAATTGACAGCAAACATCAAACACCAGAGCAGCTTGGAGAAAAAGTAGGGGTGTTGCCAGGGGACAGGCCAGCAGCCATGGAGTGACAATCAGGACATGTGAACCTCAATTCCCTCCCACAGGGTAACTTCCCTGTGTTCCTCACTGCCTGTACGCTGGAGACGGCCTGGCTGGGTAGGGAGATGTCCAGGCCTGCTTAGAGAATGTCTGACCCAGACTCAGGAGTTGCAGGAGGGATGCCTGGAAAGCCACAGTTCTCTCTACAGGGATGTGTCCCAGCTGAGTATGGGCACCTGGTGGGACCTCACAGCACCTGTGTGCTGGTGGAGCAAGGCCAGCTGTAGAATAAAGATCTGTGGAGAGGGTGTGTCCCAGTCCTGCCTCAACAGAAGGGAGGACATGGCTCCAGGACCGTGGGCCTGGACACCTGGGGAGGCAGGCAGAGCTGCAGGATGAGGAGAACAACTTCAGGGCCTTGGCAGGAGGGTGACATGGGTACAAAGTCCTGGGACACTGGCAGCAGGGACTCCAGCAGCCCCTGGATACTCAGGAGACATCTGGCCCTGGCTCCTGTGCTTGAATAGATACTCAGAGGAGAATTACTGCAGTGAACAAGGAAGTCAGACTTGGGTTTGAGCCATCTGTACTTGGAAAATGAGGCTGCTGATGTTTCTTGGGTCACAAGAACTTCCCATATCTTGTAAGCATCTTGGGACAGGGCTGCACTTTCCTCTTGTGGAGAGACACACGTGTGACCTGGCTCAGCCCACACCATGCCAGGGGCCACAGGGACCTGCTCACCCCATCCATTGTGCCTGAGATTGCCGAGGGCTGGAAACTCCAGCTCTCAGGATGAGTGAAGGCTGTGGAGCTTGAGGAACACCCTGCCCACATGGCTGTGTCCTGTACCCAGCAGGAAGGATGCCAGCTCCTGCCACCCCCAGGAAGCTCATCCCCAGCCTTGAGAGGTCCTGAGCTTCCTTGCCAAGCCTGTTTCATTGGGCCATGATCTCTGCTTGGCAGGGGTACAGGGCATTGATGCTGAGCAGGTGGGAGACCCGAGGCAGGCAGGGCTCAGTGCTCAGCCCACACAGATGGCCCTGACAGCAGATGGGCTGAGGCAGAGGCAGGAATTCCTGCTGCTGGGTTCACTAGGGCATGGCCTCTAAGCCCAGCGTGTTCATGGACTCCCTGGGAAGCTGCAAAGGAGGACACACAGTCCAAGGCTGCCCATGATCNAGCCTTTCCACCATGCCCTCGCTGGGATCTACCCCCGGGCTGTGCCTCCCGACCCTCCGGCCGAGCAGGAGGTCACTGCCTGGGTGTGAGGCTCCAGCTGGGTGTGGGGAGGTCAAACAGCCCCGCTTTGGGCTTGGGGAAAGGCAAAAGGAGTGTGAGCTATAGTCTCCATCCTGTGTTTTTCAAGTCACACAGTTTTCTCCGTGAGGATGGTGACCTGTCCCCGTGCCATGCCATCGGTGCAGGAGCACAGAGGTCCCTGGACACACGCAGCCAGCGCCCCCAGGAGCAATCCTTGCTCAAACAGGACTCATGCAATCAGCTTGTGACCACACTGCTCAACCCCCCAGCCCCCAGGAGCCCAGGTAGGCAGCCAGTGGAGCCAGAGGAGCCCAGGGCCTGTGCCAGCCCTCAAGCTGTGCCCAGGACACACAGGAGCCTGTGAGTCTGAAGCAGGACAAGAATAAACAGGACAAGAATGGAAATAAAGCTGGGTGAGTTCCCATTGGTGAAAACCAACCCCATCCTATGCTCAGGGTGGGAGAGGGTCCATCCTGTTGTTGCTAGCAGGAGTTCAGCCAGGGGATGGATGACACCAGAAGAGCTGGGAGCTGCTATCTCAGCTGGAGCAGGGCCTTTCCCCATGGCCCAAGGCAAGGAGATGCCCTGAGCAAGCTTTGCTGCCCTCAGCACCTTCTCTTCATCCCCATGCCTAAGGCAGAACTATTTTCCATGAGGCAGATGAGAGCCGTGGTGCTCCATGGCTGCCACCCATGCAGGAGCCAGCGGTGTTCCAGCAGGCCAGGGATCCCTCTCCAAGGTGGGGGAAACCACAAAGCCCCCGTGGTGCTGAGCTCCTGCCCCGAGGGTGCTGGAGGGCCCTGCATGGCAGCTTCACACTGAACCCACCTGGCCATGGGAGCAGGCACTGGGGACAGCATTCCAACCTGCTGCTGCTGTACCTGCCCATCACAGGCTCACTGTGTCACCTCTGGGGAAGGGAATGGGCTGGGACATCTCTCCACGAGGCACTGCTGCATCCATACAGCTCAGCCCTCCTTCACAAAGCAGCACCTCTGAAGCAGGGGGTGCATGGCTCTTCCTGCACCCTACTCCCTGCCTGGCAGCTGCAGGAATCCAGCCTTGTCTTCTCACATGGGACCAAAACAAGTGTTGAAACCTTGGCCTCTCATTATTAATCATTCCTCTGCCGCTCTGTCGCCGCTGCTCTGCTCTCTTGCCAGCTTTAATTAGGTTAGGATGGTTGTTATTATTACCATTATCCCTGTGATGTTGTGCCAGAGGTTTGGGGTGGGTCCCTGTGTGCTCTTTCATAACACAGCCCTGGCCAGGTGTGACTGTGTGAATGTGGGCACCTGTGAGCTCTGGCTTTGCTGCACGGAGCCAAGGTGGGCACAGCCCCCCTGGCTGGTCACCCACAGCCCCTCGAGCAGCTCTGTGCCCCCCATGGGCTGCATGGGCAGTGCCAGGCGCTGCAACTCTGCAGGCAGTGCAGGAGCTGTGAGGATGTGGGGCCGGGTATGGATTCCCTGGCAGAGAGGGGGCATCTCCCAGCCG